CCAAGTCTGCACCTGCAGTGCTGCTTGATTGAAACTCTGCATGTATTCTTCTTAATAAGAAGAAATAAATAATATCTCCTGTTATTTACCAAACACCAGGATTACTTCAAAACCACAAGTAGCAATCCTTCTGTGCTAATATTCTGTCATTTCTGCCTTGTGCACAGAGGATGCTCAGGCTTCATTCCTCAGCAGAAATGCCATCTGTATCTCTATGTTCTACCTTGGGTTTAACTTGCTATTTGGAACCCTTACTCAAAATGTGTATCTGGTATTTTGATTATGAATTGTCACATAAACAGAGTGATTGATTAAAGTAATTTACATAGAAGCATTCGTGGTGTTTGAGCAAGCGAAAATACACAGAAGCACATGGCACTTAATTACATTGCTTAACAATAAATGTCAAGTTAAACCTTTTAAAAAAAAGATGAATGCTATACTTAAGGAAAGTGCAATTACATTTCTATGGTTTGAAATGTTTTACACACTGTATATATTAGAGGGGCAAAGATATTAACACTTTTGTACATGCAAAGGTGCTGACAGATTTCAGATGCTACAAGGCAGGCTTTTGTAACTGCTGTCCGCTTATTGCTTGCAAAGGGAACTCGTTTACTGTAATGTGCTGTTAATCTGAGCTCATTTACTTGTATGCAGCCACATTTGCATACAGACACACTCTCAGAACTGATTGAGAACATGAGGACTAGTGGTCCTGATTTGGTAAATTGTTGCATATAAACAGGATTTGCATTCAAATTAGTGTTTTATATCACAGCCTGATTATACGTCCCATTTTAATAATGTTGAACGAATAGCAATAGTGGATTTCAGAAAGCCACTCCTCTGATTATATGTTCCAGTTCTAAATTTAATTTAAAAAGTCTTTCCCCCCTTTTTTTCCTCCTTTGCTGAAATTTAGTAACAGACCTGGAATTTATTCTCCCATTAAATAATACGTACACTTCTATAACAAATTGTTATACCTTCCAAATTACATTCAATAATTTGTTTAATAAAAGACTGTCATATTGCTTTTGTGTTCCTGTGGGAGGGTAATGGAGGAGCAACTGAACTCCACGGTGTTCATCATCTACTTCTTGCAGAGTAGAAGAGAGTAAGAGGGAGTCTACAGAGCGAAATGGGATGAGGTGCAGAGTTCCCCACCCCAAGTCTGAGCAAATCCATGTGTCTAGACGACACTGCTCGCTATTGGGTAAAAACACTAGCTCAATTCTTTTCAGCAACTATAGCTATGTCATTGTGGTGCAGCTCTCCATTCTCACCCCGAATTACAAATGAAGAAGAAGAGAATAAAATTGTGAGGATAACTATTTGACTACGTCCAGAATAAACAAGGTTAATTTTAATGAGGAGCAGTTTTCCAGACTAGTTTGCCATCTGACTTTCTCCAGTTCAGCGCCACAGCAGTGGCATAACTGAGAGGTGTGTGCAGGGTAGTTCTCGCATATGGACATCTTCACTGTTGCCTCTTCTGAACTGGTGTGACAAAAGCCTGTCTTCCTCCTACTCTGCACAGCAGCAACAGATCCTCTCCACTGCTGCTGGGATGGTCTAGCTTCTCCATTTTTCTGTGCTCAGATTTATAAGTATTATAATGGAGCAGAATTCATTTGATAAAGACAGCTAATTTCTTTTTTTTCAATCCATGAATTTAAAGAAAATACATGAAATAAGATGGTTTCAGTGCCATAAATTGTTATAATTTAATTGCACCATGTATTAACAGAGTATTTTTTCCTGTTGCCTAGCAATGAGATTAACCATGAGATTCACCATGTGCTTAAGATTCCATTATTAACTTCTGTTTTCAGAGGTTTATAACTTTAATAAAAATGATTACTCATAGGACAATCCAGAAAGTGCATGTTGTGGAAGTTCTTTTTGTTGTTACGGAGTCACTTACTAAGGAAGCTTGAGGCAGAAAGCTCTGGTGCTCTCTGATTTCTGTACCCATTCTCCCATGCTACTATATGTGGTAAATTTTGAAACTAACTTCTCGAGCAACAATTGTTTTGTGTGTTTTTGAAGCAGTAAGCTATTTATAAAACTGTTCTTTTACTTTAAAGCTTCTACATGGAGACGTTTTTACCAAGGCAGCTATCTCTGCTTAGAAGAGCAGCAACTGCTTTGTGCTTCCCCACAAAACTGAAAGCCTAGGAAAGGGTTTGAGCACTGGCATTTGAGGTCTTCTCTGTTAGTGTTCCACATAGTAGTGGAGCAGGTCTAGACCTTTTCTTTGGGGAACTGTAATGTTTGCTAGGTAGAAGGATCATCACATGGAGCTTCATGAAAGAGACTAGTGCTTGAAGAGGTTGGAGGAGCAGAACCTCTGGTAAGAGTGAAAAGTAAAGCTATAGGTCAAACCCAGAAAGTTGCCTTGTTCCACAAAAGCTAGTTTAAAGTTAGGGACAGCAAGTATATGCAAAACCAGACAGCTTTTAGCTGTGGGAAAGAAAAAACCAGTTACCTCTGATAAGGGTGCAGTTTGGATTGTCTTGTACTACTCCATGAGGCAGCGCTGTACCTAAAAGGACTTGACTTTGAGCTCATGGAGAAAAAGGCTGAAAACTACTCATATCCAAGTTTCTTCAAGAACAAAGTGTTTTTAGCAGACAAAGTGATTGGAAACTATGTCAGAATGATAGTAGTACAATGGCACTCAGATGTGTTTCTGGACTGCGTCTTGCTGCAATGCAGAAAGTAGAAAAAACAGTTTATTCATAGTTGCTGTAAAAGTATTTAAGGAAGGAGAATATGATTACTGAACTTATAAATTTGGACTTAACAAAAGATGCTAGGATCAGCCTTTATGAAGACCTTGGGGGGAAAAAAAGGTATTTTGAATTAATCCATTTTAAAAAGAAGAACTCTATATACCTTAGTGTTTCAAAATGGTTGTGATTGTTATGAAAGATTCGTTTTTGCATATTAAGATTTACACACTTAACTATTTATAGAGGATCTGTGTGTTTAGTTGCGAATCTTTAAGGAACTTGACTTTATTCATGTTGTAAACTACTGCTACTTTTTAACAGCTATGTATTTTCAATTTGTCACCTTTATAATAGTTAATTTTTAATTAAGAAACATAGAAATGTAAAGTTCATGCCTTCAAGTAAGCAAAGTAATTTTCACTGGAAAAGGAGGCATTCATCAGCACTGGCATTTATCTTGCTTTATAACTAAGCAAGATGAGTTAAGAAAAACAAAGTAAAAAGCAGATTTTTTTTTTTTTTTTTAGATAAACTGGCTTCTCTGTCCTGTGCTTTTGTTTCTGTACATATATTTTTGCACATATCTGTAATTTTTCTTTGGGGTCATATAGTCTCAGTATGATTATGAATGATAATTACTTTCAGAAATCTGCTAGGTATATGTAATTTTTGTTGACAAAATATAGATATTATAAAACAATGCAGACATTATAGATAATACAGATCAATATTAAATGTGAAAAAAGTACAGTGTTTGCTGTGGTTAACATAAGTAGCATTTCTTATTTAGCTAGGCTGTCTTAGGCACCATTTAGTGCTCCTGCAGCCTTTGTATAGAAAGTGAGGAAAGGGAGGTGTGCCAAATTCCATTTCTCACTGGAGTGCTACATTGGGTTAGTGGTCTGGATTTCATATTGCTTGTGCTTCCCCAGAACATCATCATCCCTACAAGAACTGGGAGAAAATGAATGAGTGTTCCCCTGACAGGGTCTAACATTCCAGGACAGTAGCTGGGGGACTGGCAAAACGTTAGTTGTTTTTGCTGTTAAAGTGACACTGAGGGAATGTGTAAAATAAAAGAGAAAGTAAAATCCTGCTCTTGTTTGGTATTTTCCTCTATTAAAGCAGCTCATACTATTGTATCTTACATATTTTGTATGAATCGGAAACATACCATGTAATTGCATTATGTCTGTGTGGAGAGAAAAGTGAGAGGGAGGCATTTGTGGGTCTTTATTTTTAAGTTGGTTATGATTTCTAAAGCTTCTGTACTGCAGAGACAGAAGACCTCACACATTACTGCTGGCTAGGAAGAGCATGCTGGTACTAACCTGCACCATGTCAGAATTGAATCGAGGATTTCCCGAAGCCTAGTTAACTGTTGGGAAATGGTTATGCGAAGCATAGCTTGACTTTACATTATATAGAGTAGGCCTAGGACCGTTTCTGTTCTCAGGAAGAGAACATTTATTGCAGTACACGGTGCTCTGGAGAGAGTTATTTGGCTCTCCTGGAAATCTGTCTTAGTAAAGAATGTAAATAATCACAGCATTCCAGCATTCTCATACTTGAGCCTAGTATCTTTAATGGTCACTCTTATTTGATGCCCAGCAACCAGTAAACTTTTAAAATTGTGTGATGTCTTATGTACGTTGTAAGTTTGTATAATTATACCTGGTAATTTTAATTTAACAAATCTGTTGTTTGTTTGTTTGTTTTTTCTCCCAACAGTTCTTTTTCCTAGAAAAAATTCAGTAATGATAGCTCTAACTTTGCAACAACAAACCAGAAAAAAATTGCTAAAGATTTATATGTAGTTTCAAACAAGTGATAAGAAGCAAGCAAAATTGGTTTTAAATGAATGGAAACAATTCCTAAGCTGTATTTGAAATGTGGAGTTTTAACCTGAATTTTACCTAACATTTGCTTCTAGCCTGCGATTACGCAGCTGCAAACTAAAAGTCTTAAGTTGTTGCTGCTTTTTGGGGGGGATGAATTCAATAAGGATTATGTTCATAAGGTTAATAATAAAGTTGCGCTCGTAGTTTGAGTGATCAGCAAAGATTGCATCTCTTAGAAAAATAATGGCTTGATCCTGTACTGAAAGTGTGACTAAAAGGCATCTCAGTAGCAGTCTTTTGAGGTGTCCTTGGTTCACTTGTTTTACGTTATAGGAAACAAGGACTGCCATAAAACACAAAATGCCTTAAATAAAACCACTTCAGACCTCCAACATACATTTTTACTGTTGTCTTCTAGGTTGACTGGGGTCAGCTGGACTATTTAGTAATTGACATGCCACCTGGGACTGGAGATGTACAGTTGTCAGTCTCACAGAATATTCCAATTGCAGGTATGTGTATTACTTGACTGCCTCAGAGATTTGAAGTTAGTTAAGTCTGGTAGCTTTAGAAAAATCTTATTTTAAAATGCTAGTCAGAAATTCTTTTGTCTTTCTAACACACTAAGAAACTGTCCTGTCAGTCGTGTGGTGATGAAAAACACTATCAATGATTTTTAACATGTTAGCACGATGATTGTCTTACTTTCTTTTAAGCTAAGTTTCAAACAGATTGAGAAGTCTAGTATAGCAGTGCTCTTGAAAAAGGCAGTCATGCCAAAAATTGGTAAGGTTAGTAGTAGAAAATATTTTCTTTGTCTGGATCTACTGCACAGTAAAGCTAATACAATAAAATAGTTGTCTTCATGATTGCTTTCTAGTTAGAAGCTGGCAACACTGTTAATGCACAACATTTATTCAGATAAACTATGCAGCGCTGTAATACACTAATGCATTTTTTTTTCTCTAGTGTTATGAATTTGACTTTTTGTAGGGTTTTTAAACTTCAACAAATCAGTCTTGAGATATGCAGGCTGCCCTCTGATCTCATTGGTTTCAGCAGGAGTTAGAAATACTGCTTTTGAAAGCAAGCTGAGCATCTCACAAGACCTGATAGACTGTTTATTACCTGTCTGACATACTTCAACAGAAGCAGTTGTGAATAGCCAACATAATCAATGTTAGGAACTCAGTGGTAAGAGACAAAGCAATCCTTACAGTTTCAGAAATAATTTAGTAATTGCTTTTCACCAGGAGGGTAGTGCAGTGCTGGAACACATTACCCAATGAGTCCATGGTATCTCCATCCTTGGCAGTTGTCCAGGTTGTACTAGACAAAGCCCTAGCTGGCCCTACCTAGTGTTGCTAGCAGATGACCTCCAGAGACGTTTTCCAACCAGAAATTCTGTGATTCTGAGTTATTAAGGAATCAGTGGGACTGCTTGCTCCACTTTTTGGTGATACCAGATAAATATGTTGATACGAACCCAAAATGGTAGCAACTTTTACTGCTCTCATTCCTTCCTGAGTGCAGACTGGCTCATGTGCACAGGGAGGCCCTGGTTACCTCCAACACTCCTTTCTCTGCACTTTGGTGGCAGTAATGCACTGAAGTGAAACAGCTAAATATTAAATTTGTAGAACCAATTCACTTTGCATGTAGAACTCTTACCAGGCTGCCTGACAAGTTTAATGAATAAAGAATTGTGTATCTGTAAAAGTTCATAGGCTAGGATAAAAGAGTTAGCTACAGGTGTAAGTAGAAAGACTGGTGGGCATTACAGACATGCCCATTTATAGAGGCACTAGAGCTATTGGATTTTGGGACATTCATCCTGGTTTCACAGCAAAACCATCACCACTGTTACAGCACAGTGAAGTCTACAGGAACAAAAGGAACCCTTTAACAACCAGGCAGCACCTTGTACTTTTTCTGTAACACAGTCATGTGTCAGCTGCAATCATACATGATAACCACAGTTACTCATATATCTACAAGCCAAAATTTTTGACAAATAGTTAGATTTAGTGTTAAGGCTGCATGGTGGTATCTCATGATCTTCCATGATGCCAAGTTCAGAAAAAATTAAATCTTTTGACATATAAAACTCAAATGTTAAGGCACATGCTAAGTCAGCCATAACACTATCACCCCCAAATTGTTAATAACCACAGGGGGTTCCCTCTGCTGTCTGTGTTTGTGTTGAGTGGTGGAAGGGAGCAAATCAATAGAGTTGTGATGAAGGATTTAATGAATTTTTCCCATAAGAAGTAGAGGAGGAGGCTTCTAGTGCCTTAGCTTCTCTGTGACCTGGAGCATATGATGAAAAGCAAACCATGATTCATAGCCATTTTCTTAAATGCACTGCTTAGTAGGTTGCATGTGTGAGTAGCAAAGCAGGAGGGCCTTTTACTCCTAGGGTTTTAAGCAATGAGGTGAAGCATGACAGTGGTATGGAAGTCTTTGGTAAAGTAGAATTTCACATTAAATCTTGTATGTAAGGGCAATAAAATTATGAAATTAAAGAGATGTGGCTTTATCTTAGTGGATTATGTTTTTTTTTAAAGTATGGTGGGTATTGATAATTGCTATCCACTACAGTGCACCTAAATGTCCTAATTTAACATAGAAAAGGTCATTAGACTCTTGGTCTTCAAGGGATTATTGTGCCCTTTTCCCACTGAATTCTACACTGTCTTCAGAAGAGTGAGTGGTTGTGGTATTGGTGCACTGGGTCCTCTGGGGCAGAGAGGTGATAGACAGAAGTACTTTAATCCTGTATTTCTTCTAAGTTTTGTTGAGGTCTGTTTGTGGAAGGTCACAAGAGCTTTCTAACTGGTACACTACATCAGTAAATGGAAACCTTAATTTAGATTTTTTTTTTCATAATACTTACATCTTCTTAGAATGTTACAAAGAAAAGGAAGTTTAAAAAAAAAGCTGGATTTTTTTGCTAAGGACAGCAATGTCCTCATTCTTGTGTAGTTATAACAAAGTTATAAGAATTAAGAGTAAATAATTTTTATTCAGTATTTTCATTAGTTTTCCATATGCTTGTCAGAAACCTGTCGTTCTCATACCTGTTGAATCAGGTTTTGAGGCAAGTCAAAGTAGACAAGATGATGATTTAAAAAAAGGAAAACAGGCTTAAAACAACAATAAGCAATGTAAATTTTCTTGATATGCCATAAAAAGGGATAAATTCTTGCCCATGTCTCTCCTTAAACTCTTTGCTATGGCTTTCTGGCTTTTTTTTTTTTAAATTTGCACAAGTATGGGCTTTTACAACTTCCTAACTGAAGACAGCATTTTGATTTGAATTCTGAAATGGCTTCACGTTGTTACCACAGTTGCTCAGTTCGGTTTATTTCTTCGTCAATCCTAACTCCATAAAATTAGGAGTGATAGCATCACTTGACATTTGTCCTTCTCATTAGCTGGTGGTGTTGAGCATGTTGAGGTCTACTCCTGTGGTTTAAAAAAATAAGTGTTTTGTGCTTTTGATGAGGACAAGCACAGCAGACAAGGAGTGATAAGATTTGTAATTCCCAGTGTTCTTACTGGCTCAGTGAATTTTAGTGATTCATAAAGAATTTTTTCTGTTGTGTATTGTGGGTATTTTTCATTCTCATTGGAAGGGCTTCTTTTTGTGTATTACATCTTGAACTGTACTTTTTTCTTTTACTCTTGTTACTTGGTTTCTGTCTCTTTGACAGTCTATAGCCTTGTTTAACATGCTTTCATTTTTTTCAACCTTGTTCCTTTTAAGGGTATGGAATATAGTGTTACAAATATCGATGATGATGCCTTTGGAGCAGTCTACAGAATTCTGCTGGCTTTGTGGGCTCCGTCTTCATTTGCAATTCATGTTTCTAAGCTGTGTGTTGTCTTTTATTTTTTTACAGAGAGTATTTGGTGTTGTGCCATTCTGTTCCCTCTCCAGTTTTCTTGTTCTTTCTTTATCCTTTGAGGATGTCTTGGACAGTCATGGTATTAGTGGCATAATTTCATTCTTCTTCCTCAGAGACAGCATATATATCTTGGTTAAGTACGTTTGGAAGTGCATTATCTAGTTTGCATAAAAGTTGTACTTTGATTTGCATGCATGCATATGTGAGATACAGTATTTGCCTTACGGTTTCTTCATTATTTATCTATGGCTTCCTAGGGATAGACAGCGTAGAAAAATTCTACTCTGTCTCTAGATAAATTTACAAGCCTGCATTCATATTTTTGCCAGCCATTTACAGATTTTTCTGTGAGTGTCAGAAAGAGCACAGGTAAAGGTGTTTTGTTTGGGACAGGTTTGCCCAGATGGGTCATGAAAAACTGTAGCATTGCAACATCTGACAATAAGAGAGGGACTGATCAGATGTGTGAAATGGTATTGGGTTTTAATTTTAGAAGACTTTTTTTTATTCTGCATCCCAGGTACCATAATTTTCTTGAGTCAAAAAGGGATTAGAGCAATACCTAATGCGTAAAAGCAAAACAACAAAATATGTCTTATAATCCTGGTTGTCATTAAAGAGAGTATCAGCCTCACACAACTTCAGCTGGAGTGACAGTTTTGTGTGGGTACTTTTCATTCCTTAAAAGATGAAAAAGGAAACTACTGTGACTCCTGTTTTTTATTTTATTATTCTTAGTCACCTTACAAGGAGATGCATCTTATTTAGCATATTATTCTTTAATCATCCGTAACTTTTCTCATGTTGGGAGTCATTCTTCAAAAACTAGTAGGTGAGAAATGATATGGTAGTTAGAAAATGTGATATATGTTTCTGCTCAACCACCACTTCTTTCTTCAGATTCAAGTCTGCTTTCCAAATAGAAATCCAGGGTCAGTCTGGAGGAAAAGGCTTTGTTTATGGTCTGTTGTCACTTAATTTGTATTTGGTTCTGTTTCTTCGACTTTGTTCTTCTGTTTCATCGTTTGCATGGGATACCCAGAAGTGGGTTCTTTATCATGTATTGATCATGCGTGCTTGGGAAAGTTCGAAGCGTCCTTACATGTTTTCCAGCTTTTAAAACGTAGAGGGTTTCAGATGACATTATGATGTTTGATATCAAGATATAGTGTAAATTAATGATATTATGAAGAATAAGGCTTGTGATTCCTTTGCATTACGTGGTTGCAAAACTGAGAAGTCTAAGTGTGTGTATTTTTTTGATTATTTAGGTAAAGGAGCCATAAATCAAATTTATAAATAATATTGGAGATGGAGGATTAGCCTCCCTAAAGGCTGGGGGAGAAGTTTATCATTCTCTCCCTTTAGAGTGTGAAGGCTGCGTGGGCAGCAGCAAGGGCATCTCTGTTAGAGAGGCAGTCCCAGAGTCCTGCACAAGTGTTTCTTCCTCATGGAGGCTGACCGTTAAATAAATTAGGCTGTCTACTGCCCTTTCTTTATTAATGTTAAAGTGAAGTCTGCATTAGTAAAGTGTGACAGTTTGACAGCTCTAGGGACTGGCACTCTGTCTCAATTGACAGAATGGACTCCAGGTTAATACT